CCCCTCAGAGTTACTGTTTACCCTCTAGGCGCTCTGCAGCGAGAACCTGGCCCAAGTCCACTTCGTCATGTTAGAACACGGCAGTTTCTGAAATCCTCCCTTTATTCTTGAGAAATGCTGTCTCTGATGGTTTGACTTTATATTTTGTTTGTCCTGCTGTTGGACTCTCTCCTGTTTCATGAGCTCTCACCCTTGAGTCGTGGCAAGGTAACTCTAACTGGGTAGTTTGACTTTGTTTATCAGTTACCATGTTCAGGATGAGCTTTTCTTAACACGAGCTAAGCCATTTACAACATTATTTTAGCTGTTTGTGTAGCAAATGGAATATTCTGTGAATTCTAGTTGCCTTGGGTTGGTTCTAAACATGTAAAGTTATAACCATGGTTGAAATCATTTTTTAAAGCATTAAAATTACATAAAGTGTTAAAACTATACAACCTCATTTTCTTATATGGTAATATCAAGCATTTGCCTAGTGCTTCCTTTGTGTCAGATTATGTTCTAATCATTTAAAGTATAAATCATTTAATCCTTATGACAATGCTAATAAATAGACATATTATCATTGCTATTTTACAAATGGGAAATGGAGGTACAGAAAGGTTAAATAATTTGCCCAAGGTCACACAGCTAATTGGTGATTGAGCCGGGGCTTGAATCTGGGCAGGCCAGGGCCCATGCTCCTAACTACTGCAATGCATTGCTCTTCACCAATTTAAAAGTTGCAGCTATGTGGATGGGAGTTGAATTAAATGTTTACAAAATAACATTCATTCATTAATTATTTTCTATTTTTATTGAACTTATTGGGGTGACATTGGTTAATAGAATTATAAGATTTCAGGTGCATGATTCAGTAATATATCATTTATATATTGTATTGTGTGTTCCTCACCACCAGGAAAAAAATAGCATTAATTCAAGATAGAGAGCTGATTCTTACTGCAAATTACATCTATAGGCTCATTGAAAAAGAACCTGAAGGACTTTTTTTGGCAATAATTTTTCACTTAATTTGCTACTAAAGTGGTTACATATGGAAGCAATAAAATCATATATCTTGAAAATCTTACAAAGATCAGGTTTCTTAAGAAAACAAAACCATTGTAGCTTTTTCTTTGTAATGGGCCGAAATAGTGCAGTAATGAGCCACTTTAATATAGGTAGCTGATGTTTATTTGAAAGTACTTTTAAAGACTTTTTTCACAATAAATCTTATTCTGCTGGTCGGAAGCCCATTATTTGCAGTGATTATGCTGCAGTTAATAAAAGAGTAGAGGTCTTATAAGCCTGTCATCTTCTGATTTGTCAGTGTCTGTTCACTTCTAGATCCTATTATCTGTTGGTGTCCTTTGACAAGCATGAGCCACGGCTGCCCCAGACAGTTACAATGCAAAGGTCTTCTGGGACAATTTTATAAATAGTTGCAATGAGTAACCCAGCAAATCTACATGGCAGGTTGTGGGCGACAGATCTAGAGAGGAGACAGATTTCCCTTCCTTACTGTTATATAGTCATGCGCCCTCTTCCCCCAAGCCCTCACAAGACTCAGTGCAATCCTTACCTAATGGACAGGATGATGCCACTATCCTGGCAGGTTTCCCAAAGTATAAGGTAAATTCTTCTGGGTTCCATCATACTTGGAGATGGTATCTTAACCTAACATTAGATGACAGCGAATCACATTGTAAGGGAGATATTTCTTTTTCACGTTTTTTTGACCTTCCTGCTCATTCAAGGAGAAAGTGGGTTTGTTGCCACTGCATCTTTAACACTGCTGAGTCCTGCAGAATCTCCCTTATGACAAAGAGCAGGCACTGTAGATGCTCAGATGTTTAGTCAGAATGCAGTTTCATTGTTTTGTTTTTATTATTTTATTATTATACACTGGCACCAGACCATTTGGGGTAATATTTCATTTGGTTCTATGTTTTAAAATTAAATATGTCAATTATTTGCAGATGTTTTATTAAATATCTTGCACAGTTCCCATTTATAGTAAGGCCAGGAATTTCTTGGAAAATTGGTTTTATTTAAAGAGTAAAAGGAGAGTTAATCTAAAGACAAGTTGTAGAGCATAGAAAAATACAGGATGAGATGTAGATATGGAAAATTGTGAACTTGGTAGAGCAAGGATAAAATCTTGGTCTAGTACCTGCTATGGTTAATTTTGTGGAGATCCACAGTTTCTTCTTTGAAACTCTTGGGACCAGACTTGTTTTGGAATTAGGAATGTCCATGTTTTTTGGTATAGTGCGTATAATATATATGCTATGAGTCCCATTGGAAACACGGGGGCAATGCTATCATCAAGCACAATAATAATTCTGTAGCAGGAGGTATGACCGTTCACACTGAAGTGGGGTAAATAGAGACTTTACATGACCTCGTGTGGATTCAGGTTAGATTTTGCCACCACATTTGTTTTTAAACCAAACTTAGGGGGGAAAAAAGTTTTGATTTTTCAGAGCTTTTTGGATTTCAGAATTACAGATAAGAGGTTATGGGCCTGTCTTGTAAATAAATCACATCATTTTCCAAAACATTGATTAAATAAATCATGAAGAAAACAAATTAGATTCCAACTCGGTCAAAGTAACCAAAGTAACTCTTCCACCTTTGAGTTTATTTTTACTGCCTGGGTATGATTTCCTTATAGACTAGAGGCCCGATGCACGAAATTCGTGCAAGAGTAGGCCTTCCATCCCCCGGCTGCCGGCACTGGCTTCCCTCTGGCACCTGGGACCCGGGCTTCCCTCTGGCCACTGGCAGGCACCCAGAACCCAGGCTTCCCTTGCAGCCCCGGCTTCATTTGGGAGGACGCCTGGTCTAATTAGCATATTACGCTCTTATTATTATAGATTCTGACCTGCCACACAGCGCCAGGTAGATTTGTTTGTGGAAGAAAAAGAAAAATTGAATCCAAATGACTCTTACCTGTGTGTGTGAAAATAGAAGTGGTTCCTGGTCCTGCTCATCCTTGAAGTGAGGGTTGGTTGTGAGCACAGAGCTGGCTATTTTGGTAGTTCCAAACATGGCTGTCGGATGACTGGGCAGTGCATACACTGACACCAGACCATTTGGGGTAATATTTCATTTGGTTCTCTGTTTTAAAATTAAATCTGTCAATTATTTGCAGATGTTTTATTAAATATCTTGCTAGTTCCTTAGTCTAATAATCAATGAAGTTTTGATTCGGCAGTGATGGAAATGGTTAAAAGGGGCGTAACCAGCCTCTCAAGTGTGATAGCAGACATGCCAGGTGTGTGACAGTCTGTGAACTTAGGACAGGAGAGCAGTTAAGCTGGATTAATGACCCGTCAGAGGACCATGTTGAGTTATTTATGATTGTTTTTCTAACATGCTGTAAAATGACAAATGAGCAAGTATTTTCTTACCTCAGAACACAGTGAAAGGGTTTTGTCAGGTTCTTGATTTATAACCTTTGGAACATGCTTTTATTTTGTGTAATTAGAATAAAAATGTATAGTAATTGATCATAAAGGTTATTCTTGTGAAGTGTTTGTGGGCTTTGTGTGTTATATTGCTAGCTATTTAAATAAATTGATAAGAGAAGACATGATAGATATGAGGAGATAATGTTTTACATTTCCATTGTATATTTCCTCAAGGAGCTTAATAAAAATCTCAGTTGGGTGTTCTGTGGGGAAGAGAGAGATTTAGATGGAGAATCTGAAGCCAAGGCTACTTGGCTCATACAATCCATATATCTTTATAACTTCTGTAATTTCATCTGGGACCTTCTATGAAAGAATAGAATTTTTTATTCCTAGTACATCAGCCCAACAGTTATTAATATTTTTAAAATTTTTCTGATTCAGTTCCATGGGTTTACTTAGCTTTTATGCTCTGACATAGGCAAGACATGTCATATACTATGACATGGAATAAGTGCCATTTCTGATGGAATAAAGGCAACATGATTCCTTCTGTATTCATGCAAAAAAACTCAGTGGAATGTCAGTGAGGACGTCATTTGCTATGGATATAACTTTGAATCTATCCTATTAAATTAATGTACAACTATTGATAATTTATTATAACATACCATGATTAGTATTAATGGCCTGTACCTCACTAATGGCCTTGTACCTCACATTGAACATGGTTAAAACCACTACTAACAAAATATAATGATAGTGACAATGTTTATCGAGCACTTACTAAGTACGTAGGCATGTGTTAAGTGCTTTACGTGTCTGAACTAATTTAATCCTCATAACTATACAATGAGGAAGCATAATAATAATCCACTTTTACAGATGAGGAAGCCCTGTAAAAGTATCCGGAGTTTAGGCAATTTAGCCAAAGACACAAGAAATTAGGCATTCTGGCTTCTCTATGGTTTATTGCCTTCAACTTTTGTTCCCTACAAATACAGTAACACCTCAACTCTCTGGGAAACCTCTTTGAGCAACCTCATCTATTTGGAACAAATCTGAGGACATAGAAGCAAGGAAAAACATTTCTATAACTGAAATGGAAGCAAAGCTGTGTCTGTGAGAGTATGCATATTCAGCAGGCAGTCCAGAGCCGGAACTGCGAGGCTGCGTGCTATCGCGGGTCCTTCAGTAAAGGGTCTGGAGCCTGAACACCTCAGTGGCACCTGAGGGTCACAGTGCAATCACTGATGCTTCCACGTGATTCATAAAGTGAATTTTAGTTTAACCTGTTAGGAATTGAAAGCAAAAGTCTCATCGATTTTATGAAAATCTCTCATGATTAGAAAACTAGTGCTTGAAATGGGCACATACTTATCTAGAACGATGCATTCTTTAGGACGGTTTTAGATACTGAGAAGGTTTGGATGTAGAAAACAAAATACTTGCAGGTAGTTCTGTATAAGTGGAGATAGCAAAGTGCCATCTTTAAAAAATATAATCTTGATTGTTTTTTCTTATAGTTCAATTAAGAAGGTAAAGGTTGAATGTAAAATAAATTCCTCCACTTTATTTCTCCTGTGTTCACTTCTCCTCTAGATCGCTCCTGTGATGTCCTCAAAAAATCCAAGCAGCCCCCCGCGTTCCACGCTGCCGGTGGGCTTTCTGACATGCTGAACGGTGGCGATGAAGTCTATGCTAACTGTATGGTGATAGATCAGGTAAGGTGTGACTGATGTTCCAAGGTGGATCTGCCCTCTTTCTAAGCCCGAGCATGTGAGAAATAGATTCAGCATTGCTGTGTTCCTCTGGGAGTTTTAGCCTAAGTGCAGCCCTGGTGATGCTATAGTGGAGTCTCATCATGTGAGCATTTAACTGAGGTTCTTCCTTCAGCACAGCACATCTTACCCAAGGCGCACCACGAGGGAGGGGCCTTTGACACTGCCCTAAGAGAGGAGTGTGAGTGCTCTTCTATTGGGGCCAAAATAGGAAATGACAATTGCGAGGCCAGTTTCTCCTCTACAGCTTGTCAGAAAACAAGGTGTGTGTGATTTGCTCTTGCAGTATTTGTATTCAAAGCCAGCAGGAGCTGGGTGAGCAAGAGCTTGACGCCAACCCCATAGGATGCTGTCATATAAATTACTTGTTTAATCCTTACAACACACCTATTAACATGTAATAAGGTTGTAGAGCTTTAATATTAAAGCAGAATGGTGTCGTGTTACAGGGAAGCTGGAACCCTTCAGAGCTCCCCGCCCATTCCCTGATAGAGATTTGTGAGTTAAAGCTCATGAAGGCAAGTGGTTTGTGCATCTACATATGGATTTATCCTTCATTCTTTTCTGAAGCTCAGTCACCCTTGATTTAAAAAATTTAATTTTAAAAATTTATCTTTATTGTTAAAAGTATTATGGATATCTCCCTTCCCTCCATTGACCCCCCCACTCCCATCCCCCAATATAGTTATCAATCAGAAGATTTCTGCACCCTCTAATTCAGTGGTTCTCAACCTTCCTAATGCTGCGACCCTTTAATACAGTTCCTCATGTTGTGGTGACCCCCAATTTCATTGTTACAAATTGAACATAATTAAAGCATAGTGATTAATTACAAAACAATATGTAATTATATATGTGCTTTCCGGTGGTCTTAGGCGACCCCTGTAAAAGGGTTGTTCGATCCCCAAAGTGGTCGCAACCCAAAGGTTGAGAACCGCTGCTCTAATTTATGGTAGATTTAAGGGATTCAAGGGTAATTTTGACAACATAATTTCTGTTTTATCCACTAACTTTAAAGCCTAATTCCCATATAAATGCACCATATATATGCTCCTTGAGCAATATGGTATTTTACTCTTTTTGTTGTCAGTGTGCGTATATTATACCTTATTACTTATAGATGTTTTCTGTGATATAAACATTTTTTCCTGTCTACTAGATCTCAATTTCATCTCCTAGTCAAATATCTCTGCTTTTTTCTTTTTGTGTTATAAAACACTATTACCTCAAATGCATTGTATAAATGCATAGGGTGGGATGATATTCAAAATGACTAAGATATGAACATCAGGACATGGACATCAGGCTATGAAAACTGGTATATGTTTTGGTATAAAGCAGCTGAATGTGTTCCTGTTTATGAAATCTAGAATGAAGCACAGAGTTTAGGACAAAGTGGGAGTTCTGGGGACATTCTTTGAAGATACAGGCTAACTGGACTTGGTGTGCTCTAGCCACATTCTGATTTTACTGCTTTTATTCTGTTGCCTTATTTTCTAAGCATTTGCATGAAATGCTTCTTGAGTTCTTAATTTTTTTGGTTGTTCTAAGCCTCAGTGAACACTGTAACATTTTCACTTACCTCAAGTAACTAAAATTGTACAACTCGCTATTAGGAGGAGAGAACCGTGTCTTTATTTGTTCTAAGATACACTGAACATGAAGTTATGATGTGATTGTTTGATTGTTTTGAGTGAGAGAAGTAATGTGAAGCATACACTTGAAGAGAACTCAAGCAGACTAATTGGTAAACTGAAACATAGCAGAGGATCGCCAAATGCATGCAGTGAAAACAGAAATGAAACTAAAAACCTGGATACAAATCACAAAGTACTCTATGTCAGTGTGGCATAGTTAACATATCATTTATCTCACTGTCCCTATGTCCATTTGAATAACAAGAACAGAGAGTCCAAATTCTGCATTTTTAAAACAATTTCTAGCAATATCTAGAAAAAAATCTTAATCTATTTCCTTCATCCCCTCAACATGGCACAGAAACCTAAAAAGATTGCTAGATTGTTTGCAATACTCTTTCCTGTAAATTCTCAAGGTAACCAACCTATCTGATGAGGCAATTCACATGATAAAGCTACTTTGAAAATTACTCTGTCATATAGACTACTTTGAAAACAACAGCATTGTATTTGGACATCATTTCAAGCCTGCTTAATTCAGTACAAAGAATCCCTGTATCCTCTTTATCAAAACTCCTTAAATGTTAATATTTTACTTTATTATCCTCTGAGTATGTGCTGTGTGTACGCAAATGCTTAAGACATATAAATATTTTTTAACTAGTTGAGAGCAAATTGAAAATATGGTATCCCTCAATCTTTTGTGGTGCATTTTCTTAAAAACGTGGGCATTCTCTTACATACACACGTGCAGTTATCAAAACCAGGGAACCATCATCTCTACAGTACTATTAGCAGTGTACCAATCTTACTCAATTTTAGCCAGTTGTCTCAAAGTCCTCTGTAGCAAAAGTAAATTCAACTACATGAGTTGTAATGAGTTGTCATGTGTTTTTAGTCTCCTTTAATCTGGGACAATTCCTTAGTCAACTTTTATGACATTGATAATTTTACTGATGATGTTATCTTTGGTCTACCAAATTTATTTTCAATAAAGTCATTATTTTAAAAAAAAATCAAGTATCTTGTGGGAGACAGTTTGAGTCATTGCAAATATCCTGTTATTCATTTGACTTGCACCCATCAGTTTGAACATTGCGCGATTGTTTTTGCCTTAGTAAATTATCAATTTGATGGTTGATTTAGGACCCTAAATTTCCCCCTTTTGCTTCATTTCCCCTTCACCACTCTATATGTAAATAGTGTCATTCTCTTTCTTTTTACTGTTTTCTCCCCCAGAAGTTATGCCTTTTGATGAGTGACGCCTCAGATCGCGTGTGTCTTTAAGCCCCTTTCTTAGCAGGTGCTTTGATCAACTGGGACTCTTTTTCACCTGTAGACTTTCTCTTCCCATGATAATTGTTAGGGGCCACCTCCCTGGTCTCTCTGCCATGCAGATTTTTGCAGACTGTCCTTTCTGCAAAGGTGTATGGTAAGGGTACGACAGGTTGCTTGCTGAGATTCGGTGTTTATTTCACTATTTCCATGTAATTTGAATTTCAGGGCATTTTCTATCTTCTAGCTATGCTAAGTCCATGCATCTTCTGTAGTTTTTTGTTTTTTTTTAAATATATTTTATTGATTTCCCACAGAGAGGAAAGGAGAGGGATAGAGAGTCAGAAACATTGATGAGAGAGAAACATCAATCAGCTGCCTCCTGCACACTCCCCACTGGGGATGTGCCCGCAACCAAGGCACATGCCCTTGACCGGAATCGAACCCGGGACCCTTCAGTCCGCAGGCCGACGCTCCATCCACTGAGCCAAGCCGGTCAGGCTCTTCTGTAGTTTTATTTGTATTTCTGTTTGGTAGTGTTTTATGTGACCACCTCTACCTTGTTTACTCAAATTCCTATAAACTGCTTTTTAAGTCAAGCTGCCTGCTCCTTAGTTGTTTTTCTTGAGTATTTAAAGCATTTCCTCTCATTTTGAGTGGTTCATAAAATCTTAAAATGCTCAGTTGGTCTTTTTCCTTTTGTGAATTATGGGATAGCAACCAGGTGAACAAAAACATCATGAAAGAATTCTCTGCTTATATGAAACAAAATAAGAACAAGTAAGACAAGATAAGTAAAGTGAAAGGCTTTTAAATTGGGAGAAATTTATTCTTAACTAAGCCTATCTGTCCTGCTTTTGCTTAGGGAATACTTTTCTTTTGTCTACCAGGTTGGTGATTTGGATATTAACTATATAAACCTAGAGGGAGTCACTACACACACCTGCCCTGAGTCCATGGATTCTACTCTGACACCTCAGAGCGGCAAGCATATCCTTTCTACCGAAACCAGCCCTGGCAGGCACCCGCTCCATGAGAACAAGGAAGTGACACCAAATATGGAAGCCCAACAGTCCTTCACATCGCCATCTAGTTCATGTGCTTCCAACTTAAATCTTTCTTTTGGTCTTCATGGATTTGAAAAGGAACAAAGTCATCTAAAGAAAAGAAGGTAAGGTACTCTATTTTAGAGGAAAATGTAGAAAATCAAAGAACCTTGTAATGGAAATTGGAAAATTCTATTTTATTTTCTATTGTCCCTACCATTTTTGTCTCTACATAAAAATGTTGCCCCTTTTCGGTTTCTATATTCCTTGATTTGAAAGTAAGACAGTTAAGGAAACTGGCAAAAAAACAAAATAGAAGAAACCCCTAACTTTGGCAATATTTTCATATTTTAATGAAAATGCATATAATGGAAACTCCCATTTATGTTGATAGAAGTAAAAATTGTCTAAAAACTTTGGAAACTAATTTGGATATGCATTTTATGACCCAGCAGTTTTACTTCTGTGTTTTAAGAGACATGTGGATGAGTACTTATAGAGCAGAAAATAACCCAAATGGGGAATGAGTAGATAAATTTCAGTATAGTTACACAAAGGAGTGCTATACAGTAGGAAAAATGAACTACAGCTACATACATGACATGCATGACAGAAACACAAAGTTCAACAAAAAGTAAGGGACAAAGTACTTTAGTTAGATGTCATTTTTATAAAATGCAAGCCAAAACAAAATCAAACAATTTATTATTATAGGGCCAATACATAGTGCTTAAGCTATTAAAAGCAGACAAACAAGATAACGAAGAGGGAAAAAATTCCCAAATTCAAGATAGTTATTACATCCAGTGGGGAAAGTAGGGAATGAGAATGGAAAGGAATAAAAAGGGTTCAATGGTATGGCCAATGTTCACGTTTCAAGTTGGGTGGGATCATAGGTGTTTTATTTTTATGCTCTGTAACCTTGCACATATTTTCAAAATATTTATTTGAAATACAAAAGTGTTATTTATGCAAAAGTATTAAAGCAACAGTTTTGATATGATAGTACATATTTACATGTGTGTGTACACATGTATGTTTGCATTTTTGCATCTGTTTCTTGTCCATCCATTCATTGTCTATTTTCTTTAGGAAATAGACCAATTTCTGCTAATTTCATTTTATTCTGCTGTTCACTTTCCTTAGGTAATAGCGTATTTCTCTTCCCCAGGCCCAAGGCCTCTGATTGTATGCTCATTTTCACACATAAAATCTGAATGTAGAATACACACACGTGAGTGTGTATGTAATTATTTATCTACGAATGAGCATCCACATAGGTAGATAAGTGTCCAGCAGAGATTTAACTGGTCAGAAAGAAGAGCGAGGGAGGAGAAGCAGCAATCTCCAGGTGCCAACCCCTGTGCTGTACTTCACACGGATATACGAGCACTTGCGGTTGGAACACGTTATAAACAGGTGTTGGTACCAAGGGTAACGTCTGATACATAAATAATGAAAGGTTTTCTTTAGATTCGTATTTTTTGGAATTATAGTTTAAAAGATGCCGAGTGGTCATGGCTGTAAATTAAGTTGATGGGACATTTTGGGTTCTCCACATGTCTGTTTGCAACAAGAGGCGGTCAGACAAAGCAAGAGTCTATACCAGGGGTCCTCAAACTTTTTAAACAGGGGGCCAGTTCACTGTCCCTCAGACCGTTGGAGGGCCGGACTATAGTTTAAAAAAAAAAACTATGAACAAATTTCTATGCACACTGCACATATCTTATTTTGAAGTAAAAAAAAAAAAACGGGAACAAATACAATATTTGTATTTGCATGTGGCCCGCGGGCCGTAGTTTGAGGACCCCTGGTCTATACAGTTCTGCGAGCACATATTGAACTGTGTGTTATCAGTGCGTTCTCGTGGGATCCTCGGGATCTGTCCAGCTTGTGATCCAGTCTCTAGAAGTGAATGAGCTCTTTAGGAATAGAGGCAGGAAAGGGTGCATGTGGTCTCTTGTTCTGCTTATGCAAACATTTTCTGATGATGGTCCTGTTCTGGTACGTTTAAACATCTCGCTGCTGCAGCTAGAATTTTGCCACCTTAAAATATAAGAAAAAATTATCCAGTTTGAATAAAGGCAATTAGAAACCTTGGTAAAAATGTCACAGCTGATGGGGGGTGGTGGGAGAGGGTGGCAGACAAGGAGAGGAAGATGTACTGAGAGAAAAACCTTCCAGCTAGTGTTGCGGCCAATGTCTCCTGCACATTCTGTCTCTGGAAAATGTAGGAATGAGAAGAAAGGACTTGTGATCCCCAGCAAGCCCCATTTTGACCCTGGGATGGCCATGGGACCCCCCTCACTGGTGTCATGGTGGGGGTGTGTAATACAAATGATAATGAACTTGAAGTGAACTATACCCCTTTTTAAAAATAAGCGAATCATAGGCTGAGAGGCAAGGAGGAGAAATTTGGGGGCACACAATAAAAACTGAGGTTAACACAGGGACAAAGCTGGCTGGGGCCCAAGTTTTCTAAAGTTTAAAACAATATTTTGGTGAAAGTAAAATTGTATGCATAATATGTAACCATTATGTTATTTAAAATTAATAGGTATTTTAAGAAGTTACAGGGGGAGGGGGAAATAAGCAATGCAACACTTATTTTAACAAACTTTACAGCAAAAAATTAGTTGATAGAAGACAAGTTTTGTTCTGTTCTAAAGTATATCTTTAAAACCATTTTTGTGTCTTGTTTTTCCACAGTAAGAAATGCTTGTCACACCATGAGCCCCCCCCCCCATTCACATAAAGTTTAAATGTTTTATGAAATAACATGTGGAATGTATTCTGATATTTTTTACTCTATACTATTTTAAAAGAAAATTCTGGTCACAACTTACTGAATCAATTTCATAGCCCACTAATGGGATTTTGAAAAATGGTATTATAAAATGAGAACCTAGAGGTAATTCTGAAAAATAATGTCTATAATATTGAATATCTTAGATTAATAACTTAACAAAGAAAAACTGTAACCCAATTTAGATGAAGAGGAAACGAACGGTTTTCAAGTGTAGTATGCAAAATAAAATAATACTCCCTAATCCTTGTTTTTAAAAAATATATCTTATTGATTTTTTACAGAGAGGAAGGGAGAGAGATAGAGAGTTAGAAACATCGATGAGAGAGAAACATCGATCAGCTGCCTCCTGCACATCTCCTACTGGGGATGTGCCCACAACCCAGGTACATGCCCTTGACCGGAATCGAACCTGGGACCTTTCAGTCCGCAGGCCGACGCTCTATCCACTGAGCCAAACCGGTTTTGGCCCTAATCCTTCTAAGATTTATTCATAGTGATGGAGAAATGCTGTATATACCTGGAAAAGCTTGTACTAAAATAGGATATTCTTGCAGGCAGCTGACTATTTGAACTAATTTTCATTAGTATAGAGATCACAAGTTGGAAGACAAACACAGAGGCACAAGATATCAGCAAACCTTTGACCTCCCACCCCACCCCCAGATCTCTTTCTACCCTCAGGTGATCATTGAATTAAGGAAACTACACACCACAGCACCGTAATTACATCACTATAACATTCAGAGCACTGACATTTACTGGGAAGTTTTTCTTAACACCAAGCTTTAGTTTTTTATGAGAAATACATATTTTTGTTGTTAATCCTCACCTGAGGGATATGTTTTTTCCATTGCTTTTCACAGAATGGAAGGGAGGGAGAGAGAGAAACATTGATGTGAGAGAGATACATTGATTGGTTGCCTCCTGCACATGCCTGATCAAGGGTGGGAGCAAACCACAACCCAGGTACCTGTCCTTGATCCAGAATCAAACCTGAGACCCTTCGATGTATGGGTCACTGCTCTAACCACTGTGCAGCACTGGCCAGAGCGATAAATAATTTTATGTACTCCAACATATTTTAGTGCTGAATTAAAAGTGTGAAGTCCACCTCCAATTTATCTTTCCTTCCTCAGTGCCAAGGTGAAGGGCCTCAATGTGTTCTTTAAGGAGAAAATTCCACTTTTGAAACCTTAGTGGTGCCAGGCCTGGCCTTTACTTACTTGCAGGTTTGCTGGTGCCCAGTAGGGCCCATGAAAAAGTTCAAGGACCAGAGACTGATCTTAGTGTTTGGACTAGAAACACATATAGGACCATGTGTCATGTAATTTATTAAGTTGATATTCAGTGGCTATTAAATAGCCTATGTTGTTTTTTTTTAAGAAAAGTAACCCAAATGAGTTATTCAAAGTTTTATTTTCTAGTTATATTTCATAATCAAGATGGTTTCATTATATTGTTCTTAAATTTTATCTTCAGAACTGTAACAACCAAAGAAAAATACATTAAAAAATGCACTGTTTGTTTTTTCTTTTGTTGCTTTTTGTTTTATATACAGACAACAGAATAGTAGTTACCAGGAAGGATGGGGGTCAGGGGAGGACAAAGAGGGTACAGGGGATCAAATCTATGGTGCCGGGAGGAGATGAGGCTTTGGGTGTGAGCAAACAATGGAGTTTACAGATGTTGTTTTATAAATTGTACACCTGAAATTTATATAATGTTATGAACCAATGTTACCCTGATAAATTTAATTTTAAAAATTCACCGTGCAGTGAACATGCCAGTAAAAGCTGTTGACCTCAGAGTTTGGTTTAAAATGTGAATGTTAAGGAATGAGCCAGGAATGTGGAAGGTCACATTCTTTCCTTTAAATTCCATGGTTATCACAGTTACACGAGGAGAGAAAAGCTTTATAGTTGAGCGGAGTTACTACCTGCTTCTGAGATGGATTTTCATGGGATGATTTTTAAACGTTTCTAAACATGATAATTTAATATGACACATTTGGGACCTCACTGAGTTCCTGCCTGACCCGGGTCGTGACAGCAACTCTGGGTGAGACCTTTGCACATCTCTCCTTCCCGGTGCCTCCGCCCCCTGAGCTCTCCGGCCCGGGGACACAGAACGCCACTCAGCATATGCTCACATGCAGATCCCCCAGAGCTGCCCCCCCAAACAGCCCAGTGGCTCTGTTTTGTCTGCATTTTTAATATGGGAAGGGTAACTATTTGGGGCTTGCCATAATCACATTTACAAAACAGAAATTGGATAACACTAACTTGAACCAGCTTTTGTTTCTTAGAGTCCTGACATGGCTTTAGCTAGGTAGAAATGTTCACGTGGGGAAGCAACGTTTTGTTGAAAATGAGGATATTTGGGGGAAGAAAAACAATAAAAACTACTTAAATATAAATTTTATTAGAAATTGGCCCTAGCCGGGTAGCTCAGTTGGTTGGAGCATTGTCCCCATACGCCAAGGTTGTGGATTGGGTCCCTGGTCAGGACAGATACGAGAATCAGCCAAGAATGCATAACGAAGTGGAACAACAAATCAGTGTTTCTCATTCTCTCTCTTTCGCTCAATCTCAAATCAATAAATAAAAGTAAAAAAGAAGAAGAAATTAAATGCGTAACCATTATACTTTAGACCAGTGAAGAATTTGAATTCAGAGAAATAGAAACCAACTCTGTTGGCTTCCTTGGTTTTTAACTTATTTGCTTACCTTGTGCTCCAGTTCCAGCCTCGATGCCCTGGATGCAGACAGTGAGGGGGAAGGGCCTGCGGAGCAGGCACACCTGTGCTACACGCCCGTGTCGCAGAGTTCCTCCAGAACCGGGATTCCCAGTGGGGATGAATTAGACTCTTTTGAGACCAACACTGAACCAGATTTTAACATCTCCAGGACTGAGTCACTTTCTCTATCAAGTAACCTTCAGTCAAAGGTATTCTGATTGGTATTAATGTGGCTTATTCTAAGTGGGGAAAATGTGTTGTCTAAATCTATCCATCTCTGAAAGACAAATGATGTTTTATTCACACGTGTAAACTTTTTTTTTTGGAGGCCTCATGCGCTGGCTGATTGAGCCTGTCTTCTTCATCTTTCCCACTCTAATCTGTATGGTCCTTACTTACAAGGGACGATTTGTTTTCATCAGTTCAACACTAGTACATATAACCTTTCACATACTTGGAATATTTTACCATTGTACATAATAATTCCTACTATCATCTCTTAAGCAAAGGGAGAAAAACTGGTAGTATTTGGTGGGTTTCTGATCAAACTTGTTTTGCTCACATAAAATTTTGCTTGGCCTGGGGGATGAGGTAAATCATGTTACTAAGGCAGATGATGTTTGTTTAGCATTCCTGCTGCGCGAGCGAATCTGGAATCCCATAAACTTTGTCAATTTTTCCATAGGAGACAGATTTTCTCTCATTGGCACTTTCACATGGGATTTCATTTTGTTGTGGTTGTTTTTTATTTCTTTTTCTTTTTCTTTTCTTAAATTGAGTTTATTGAGATGGCATTAATTAAATTATACAGGTGTCAGGTATACAATTCTACAACACGTCATCTGTATTGTATACCCTTGCTGTCTTGCAGCGAAAGCCCTTTTGTATTTGGATATGCTTTCTTCCTGTTTGATTTGTGTTATTATTCATTTTTTTCTTCTTAAATTGAGTTTTCTACTATAAAATAATGTGTGCTATGCCCAAACAGCTCTTTACCATGAACACATGGCTGTTATGATAACACTTTATGTTTATAGTAGAGTGTACAATATACAAACATGTTTTATGTATGCACAACATCTAGTTTTATCACAACTCCCCTCGGACATAAGAGGTTTATTGTAATTGTTGAGCAGATGAGGTTCTGCAGCGGTGAGATGTCTTGGTTACCCACGATGGTGAATAGTCAGAACTCAAATCCAGGCCCGAGTCCTCTCCCTCAGCTCTGAAGCCTGTAGAACTGTCAGAATCTTTTGAATCCAAAGATCATGTGATATTTCTGGGTAGTCAGAAATGAGTATGCTTGTCGATGGAGATCCTTCTTAGTTTTGCATTTTGGATGGAATTGTGAAACACTCATCATTATTTGGAATGAAAAGTAATTTCATCTTTGTGAAGCAGTTCAGTGTTGTCCACTTTGAAGAAGAATATGTCCTTTAAAGCAGTGGTTGCCAACCACCGGTCCGTGAGGTCCGAAAGGTTGGTGACGGCTGCTTTAAAGTATAGCTTGCCTTGCCTCTGAAATTACCTTATGTTACCTTTTACCTGAGGCTTTTGGGTAATTCTCCAAGTCCCATTATTATAAAAAATGACAACCATCTATGACTTTAGTGCAGAGGATGGCGTTGGGCGAGGGCCCTCTGTGGCGAGCTCACTGTTAGGGTTATAGAAAAGCTTGGACTGGCTTTCCTGACATTCAATCCCAGAAGGCTCTCCCTAATAAGTCAGCCAGGGGGCCACAGCTCAAGGCCCCTTGAAGCAGGATCAGACATCTATTTTCAACATTGCCCCAGGCTCTTTATATGGAAGAACTTAGAAAAACCATGCGTTTTCACTTAGGAAGAACAGAAGAGAACTGGGAAGGACAGTTGCTGATGGCTCAGTTTTAGTAGTAAATTGTGCATTACTTTATTCAGCCCTAATTTTAAGTGCTATCTTACAAATGGATGGGTGGGATGGATCTTAAGGCTACTAGGCCTCTCTCTGGTGGATGGGAGTTGGTTCCATAGATGGCTTTAGTGGTGTTCTATTGCATATTCATTTAAATTTTCTAGAATATGTAAGAAACCATGTTTTATTATCTTGCCATCTTGCATTTTCCATACATTAATGTTGTAACAGAAATTGTATGTAATTGGGATGACAAAATGACAGGTCATTTAAAAGGAATAAAGATACATAAATCAGTGAAATTCAAACATCATCCCAGGAAGTGCTGGGTGGAAATCTATTACAAGGTAAGCACAGCCTAGGAAGATTTTTATAGTAACATTATAAACTTAAACAGCTATTTGGAAGTTTTTTAAACCCCTCCAATTATAAGTGGCTATCCCTCTACCTTCTTATCTCTTGTTAAGCATAGAGATAAATATTAATATAGAATTTTGATTGAATGCTACAGTGTAAAAGAAAAATAACTGACAATTCAGGTGAACAAAAGTCAAACTTGTTAAATATACAGAGAAAAGTCCTTTGACTTAATTTTTCACTTTTAACTAACTTGATTGGAATGTCATAATTGCATCCTAAAGTATATATAGGAACTATTCCCCAAAGCTTCAAAAAGACAATAAAAATTTAAAAGTTATGAGAGTAAAACAGAAACAATAAGATTATAAAAACAGATCCAGAGACAGAGAAGCATCGATCAGACTGTCAAACCTCAGAGGAAGGTAGGGGAGGGTGGGGGCAAGGGGGAGAGATCAACCAAAGGACTTGTATGCATGC